TTCTTTATATTATTTATAACTAATATTAACCAAATTTCATTATAAATAATTATTCGTCATTGTGGATTTCTTAAATGAGTAAATAGGATTTAAAAGCCCTAATGTTTTCCGGGTTTGTGGCCTGTGGTCAAAACTACAAATAAAATCTGCTAGACCTTTCACCTTCGATAGTGGGAGGCGTCTTCAGTGGATAACCACATACTGTGTATATTGTTACGTAATCCATTGAAGATTCCTTCCACAGCCGTAAACGAAACGACCAACAAATTTGATTTCTACGGAAAACACTTTTTTGTGTATTGTTCCTACCATCTACAAATGACAATTGCCCGTTCTTACACACTCAGGTGCGGTCAAAATCCCTCTTCAATATACTTTTAGGAATTGTGGAAATAGGGGGTTGGTAGTTGGGGAGAGACAGATCAGACGGGTCAAATCAAGATATAAAAGAGAAGTAAAACAATATTTTTGGAATATTACTGTCCCAGCATTTATCTAAATGGTCAAGGAAACCAAGAAAAATTGGAACAAGGCAGAGAGATCTGGAATCGAACCGGTGTCTTCCAGAATTGTTGTTCAGGATGTCGTTCCGGACCATTTGCTACTAAAAAAGTCATTGTGGAGGGTCACAACCAAAACCAAAGAGATTTGTCTCTCCATCGACTGCACTAAATACTACCATCATCTAGACGTTTGGTGATTTCTGCCATCGACAACAGCCCAATAGCCCAAAAGATATGAATTCTTAGATAATACCCACAATAAAAGCTTAAGTTCTACGTTTGTGTTCTTGATCCTCTTTGCACAAAAAAATTCGTATAAAAATTCAAACCCATGAATTCTTTTATTAATTAGTAGTCAGTTGTACGGCGAAAAAGAATATAATTAAATACCCTTACACTTTTTTATTTAGAGTTTCTAATAAAAAGAAAATTAAATGACACTATCAGGAAAAGCTAAAAAGATTTATTAAAAATTTTGGTGGAGGCGCCGGGACAATTTAAAGCAAAGATTATAATTGAGCTATAATTCCTGTTTCGTTGTAGTACATTGATGAATTTTCGTTTCTTCATGAAAATACACTTGAGTATTAAGTATTTGTGCGATTTTATATATATTGTAATTGCTAAAAAGATTTATTAAAAATTTTGGTGGAGGTGCCGGGACAATTTAAAGTAAAGATTATAATTGAGCTATAATTCCTGTTTCATTGAAGTACATTGATGAATTTTCATTTCTTCATAAAATGCACTTGAGTATTAAGTTTTTGTACGATTTTGTTCATATGCAAGAAGTATCAAAGACATTCGCTGATGATCCTTGTGAACGGTTAACCCTTGTTAATACAGGAGAAGTACAATCGAAAAATTACGCATAGAAACTTCGAAATCCTTATGAAGCTCAAGCTTGCGGCAATGGCAGACTTAAAATTTTCCAGGGCAGGTCCTGACGTAATCCCTGACTATGGCCCTGAATGAATAATTTTAATAAACACAAAAAATTCGGACCAATTGGCGCGCAAGGAAGTTTAAATTCTAGCAAAAAATTAAAATTTTAGTCCATTTTTAGGACACTTAGAAATTCATTTAATTTAATTTCTAAACATATCATCAAAAAATATTGATTTTGGTCATGTTAACCATTTTCGCTTTTGTTAGATTTATATTTAATTTTAATAACGATAAAAACTGTTTAATTGCACGTTTTAGGTATACCCCAACCACCTGTTTTCAAAATGGCCAATCAGCACGACGTTAATACCAAAAATTCGTACAAATTAATTTGGGAAGTCGATAGCTACATGCCTATAATTGAGTATTTATTATCTTTTAAATCTCAAAGCAATAATCGATGGAAGAAGTTGTACATTCCAGCGGAAATGAGCACAGGATACACGCATTCGAAAATGTACACATTTGAAGGACTGAAAGAAAATACAATTTATGAAGCTTTCGTCACTGCTAGAAATCNACATGCCGGAGTTGCCTGTAACGAACGTTGCATTGAAGCGCGCTCACGGCTCAAGCGATCCCCACTACGAACTCGACTACGTGGCCGAGTAGAGGGGGGACATCCGTTGCATGATTTCGTTACATAGCAACTAGCTTGAAACGATCTTACCCTACCGTACGTAAAGAAGTTTCACTTCTAAAGGTTAACTTATTTGCTCATTCCTATCAGCCAACTTCATGTATGGGGCACGTTCCGTTAAAACGCCTTTTACTAATCACTTATTAAGAGGCACTAATACTAACTAAAAATGTTTGCTACAGTGGAAAGAATAGGAGAACAGAGGACTCTATGGAAGTCAATAAAAAATAGGCGAGATAGGTTGGTAGGACACCTTCTCAGGCATGAAGGTCTAATCAGAGACATATTAGAGGCAGAAACAGGAGTTAGGAGAGGTAGAGGTAGACCTAGATTAGATTTCTGTTCGCAAATAGTTAAGAATGTGGGCTGTTCTAGTTTTACGGAAATGCGAAGTTTAGCTCAGGATAGGAAAGAGTGGAGGTACGTGTCTAACCAATCTTAGGACTGACCTTATGATGATGATGACAGTGGAGCCTGGTTTGAAAGGAATTTGCACTACCTTTCAAGCAAAAATCATTTTTGAGATCGAACTTTTGAGTTTCCCCATAGCCTTTGGCTTGGTCACAATTCGTGAAAGCTTGCAGTAAATAAAAATAAAAATACAAATTCAAATTTCACTTAAATAATAAAAGATGTACTGTGTATGCAGATATATGTTTCTTTCTTCTTAATGGTATTATATGCTCTCAAATTTCCCAGACATAAAACCCTATCTTTGGAAACGATAAATAACGACTTAAATTGGTTTCATTCTCAAAAATTATCGCCAGAAGACACTAATTGACATTAAGTGAGGCATTCTAAAGTGGCAGCCTCTTCTTCTAATTGACAATATAGTTGCTTACTAGCAGATACGACACCGCATTACATCAGTTCTACTACAATACTTGATTCTCTCCGTGTACGTAATCTTCTTAATAATCTTGTAGGTAGTTGTTTTGCTTCTTTTAATTCGTGTCCTTTCGCGTATTTTCTTTTCATATAAAATGTGGACGGTTATCATGCTTTTGTCTATTTTTAAAGCTTGTGCATTCAGTAGAAGTAGTGAATTCAAAAGTTTTCCAACCACCGTTAAAGCCCCAGAAAACGACACTGTTCTTTTACCATGTTATTTACAAACTAGCAGTGATGGTAAGATCTCCTTTTTTGGAACGATTTATTTATTTATTTACAATTTTCCAGTGCAATAATAATTATTTTCTTTATATCCTTTTTAATCTAAATTGCAACATTTATTGATCAACAGTCATACGTATAGAATTCATTGAAATACAGTAGGTATTGCTCATGGGTTGAAGCTGCTATAAAGTAGGAGGGTGATTTTAAGATGATGTTTTTTTCAATCAAAAAAGTAATACAGTAACAAGCTATAAAACTGTAGTATTCACAAAAATAATTACCAAACGAATTATAACTTAAGAATTTTTTGAAGAAAATTAAAATCATGATGTAATAATCATATGCAATAAGTTGAGAAGGTGGCACATTTTAATAGGGGCGAATTAACAGTCATAAAATTTGCTGTGTTCGGAATAAAAATAATCTAATTAACTCGTTCCAACTAAAAATAATATTAATAATATTTAATCCAGGAAAAATTCTTGTTACTTTTCACCAAGGACACCTTAATATAATTGCACGTGTAGTAAAAAAATTTACATCACCTACAGCAGGATATGTAGATACCTACATGTTATTTAATTTTTACTCTTTAACATGTTATTACCGGTTTTTTTTAATACAATACTTAACAACAAATTAATACAGAAAATGTTACATAAACTAATGGATCTAGTACCTGAATGGGGTTTAATACATTGTGACATTATTGTAAATTTGAAACAAAATTATTTTAACTTTCCAGTAAATACAAATCATATTTTATAATAAAAGTATAATAAAGGGTTCACATGAGTAGTTTGTGGATAAGTCTATAATATTTTCTTGAATTTTGTGTCATGGATTAGTCCATTTATTCAACTTGAAAGAGATTGATATCTTATGTCGAGGATTTCACTATTATAATCTATGAATGTAGATAGTTTTTTTTAAATTTCATTATTTTAGAAAAAGACTTATACATATGTACGTACGTATCATAAATTGAAACAGTAATATAACTTATGCGTACATAGAGCCTTTGGGACGATGTTAGTTAATTGACATCTTCACAGGGTTCTCAATCTGAAGGCGCTTTCATATCCTGAGTAAAACTAGAAAATTCTACATCCTTAATAACTATTTGCGAGCAGTAATTTAATCTATGTTTACGTCTGCTTTTCTTAACTTCTGTTTCCTCTTCTAATAACCAAACCCTTCACTGTATACTTGATAAAGGTTCAGAACCCTACTATTTTTCAGTTATCATGTTCATCATCATATCATCATGACTATTATAAGGTGATCAATCTTAAGATTAGTTGGACACGCACCTCCACTGTTTCTTACCCTGACCTAATGTTCGCATTTCCTTAAAACTAGAACAACC